GCATGATTGGAGTGCAAGAATAAGTTGTGCACTCAAAAAGCTCTTGTTTTATGGAATTATTAGCTTGAAAGAGCTTTGAATTTGAGAATAAGGGCATATTTTCTCTGCTTGTAGGAAAAAGGGAAGACTTTGACCGAAATTTACATGTTTATAGTTTTATGCTATGCCGCTCGGACTGTCTGAAAATGTTGTCGGGTGCATGTCAGATCCTCCAAAAGTAGTGTACTTTTGGAGGATCCGGCACGGGCGCGGGAACATTTTGGAGAGTCCGTGCAACATAGGTTTAATGCACTTTGGATGAGGTTTCGCATGGAAATTCTAGGTTAATTAGTTTAACTAATGGATCTTCATTAGTGTTTAAGGATTTATGTAATATACATGGACAAGTTAAGGATTCTACATTGCCTGTGTAGTATAGCCAGTTGTTGCATATAACTTAAGTCTTTTCTAGGTTACCAACTCAGGTTCACTAATTTGCTTTTACATAACCTGACAGTGTAAAATCAGTGTATAAAAACTATTTAAAAAAATGTTGTTTAACGAGTATCGCCTGATCGCCAACCATCAGAGCAGAAATTACTAGGATCTGGTCACAAGAAATTGGTATTCAAAATTTAGGCATTATAATATTTTCTACTTATTATTTGGCATACATACTATGCAATCCTAAGTTGCTGTATTTCCTAATGTTTTGATGCATGTGAAGTTGCAGGAAGACAGTTTGAGGGTGTTGAAGATTATTTACTATGAGCATTGAGGAATTGTTTTTGCTGGCATTAATGCCTGTTCTGAAAACGCTCTTGATTGCTGTTGTTGGCTTATTTCTTGCCTTGGATCGTATTAGTATTTTGACTGCAGAAGCGCGGCACCATCTGAATAATGTAAGTTGACATGAGACTGCTTCTCAATAAATTTGATTGAAGCATTAACTCCAGACTGTTAATCCTCTTCTTGCATAGAAATTTTCAAAGTGGTAATTTCAAATGAAAGAATATGCCATAATATATTATATCTGTTTGTAGCCTAATGTGTACGAAATATGGGAAAACTGAATATAAGGTTGATTTCTGCTTGCATATCTTCTCTTAGTCTTCCACTAGTTCTTCAGAGAAAGAGTTTCCAATTTATGGTTTTAGAACATAAACCAATTATTTTCTTTATCATTAGCATCCTAGCCTCAAATATTATCTGCAGACTCGTACAGTTTGTAAAGCGTGTATAAGGTTATGCTGTCCATATCAAGCTGATTCATTACATGTTCTGGTCGTGGGGTTTGTTTTCATGTATGCTTACTTGAAATAATTGGTGAAGAATTTCAAGAAATTTGAGTTTGGTGACAGAGTTTACCTTGTAAACGTTTTTGTATTAGGTTCTTGCTTTGGCTTCTTGAATCGTAAATTCATAACTCTGCTCCTTCTAGACATAAAAGTGTACTACTAATAGAAATGCCATTAATGGCAGTGGTCCTAGTTTTCATGTTCCACCATTATCCCTTGGTACTAATTAATTTGATGAAATCATTATATAGAAATACCCCTATTATCGACATTCAAAATATAACGAATGACAGAAGGTTAAGATGGGCCTGAAGTAAGGTTAACTTTGTTGTCTTCTATAAGGTTTTCTTGGTTGTCATTTCTTCCATGACTTAACAAATATTTAACTACCCCCAAAGAAAATGAAAAATGGAAAACAAAAAAGGGAAAAGAGGAAGAGGAGTAGTTTTGTCATCGAACGAACCCTTCAAGGACTAACAAGGATCTTATGTTTCTGAATTTGGGCAGCTTGTATTCTATATCTTCTTTCCAGCGATTTGTGCTAGTGGTGTCATTGGTTCAAGCACAGAAACAGGCATATTTTCTTTGTAGGTCCAATCTTGTCTACCCTTTAATTTCCTTAAATGCATTTAATGTGTCCATAGTTTTCAACATTTCCTGTGTTTTCTGTAACATTTGATTCAAGTACAGGTGGTTCATCCCAGTGAGTATTCTTATTACATTTCTCTTTGGATCAGCTCTCGGGTGGATACTTGTCAAAATCACTAGAGCGCCTCGGCATTTGCATGGCCTTGTTATTGGTTGTTGCGCCGGAGGTAGATAAACAGCATTTTGTCGTTTTCCTTTAGCATGGCGCAACTTTTTAGTTTTAGAAATACTTAGCTCTGTGCTTTAAACATGAACGTTAACAACAACAACAACAACACAAACCTAGTTTAATCTCACAGGTGGGGTCTGGGGAGGGTAGAGTGTACGCAGACCTTGCCCCTACCTAGCGAAGGTACAGAGGTTGTTTCCGATAGTCCCTCGGCTCAGGAATTAAACATGAACTGTTAGACCAACAAAAATGAAACCGACTAGAATTTTGGACCAACAAATTGTTGTTTTTAAGAGAAAAGTGCCACCTTTGAAATTTAGTTGCTTTTAACGCTTTTGCTGATATCCTGTAATTCTACACGAAGAAACCAGCATGGACTGTGGTTCCAGTAGAAGGGATAGAGGGAATCTTGAACCGTTGATAAAGATAGAAAGATAACAAGTAATTATGCATTTTAAATCATGTTGTCAAATGGCTTTTCCTAGAATTTTCAAGTGTTTAATTCTTCTGAAGTCATGAAATCCATATTCATATTCACAAGTTTCTGATTAATGATCATGACAGGAAACATGGGGAACTTGCCTGTCATTATAATCCCAGCCATCTGTGCAGAGAAAAACAATCCATTTGGAGATCCATCGACGTGCTCTAAAAATGGAATGGGTTATGTAACCCTCTCTATGGGGGTAATGAATATGACTTCATTCAATAAGTGCTAAAACATAAACAAATTCTGTCTTGGATGTTATGACCTTCAGCGTGGTTTTATTATCCTATTTCTAGATAGGAGCTATTGGCATCTGGTCGTTCGTATATAAAATCATATGGGCATATGGAAAGAGGGATGACAGGGATGTCTCAGTCTACTCCAAATTAAGAGAAAATCAGCACGGTGAAACGTCGAAAGAATCCTTGGATAGTATTACGAGAGCACTACTTCCAAATAGTAACTCGAACTCCAAGTATGATGAAGCTTCAGCTATGGTCGAAACTAAGGTTAGTCGTTCTCCTTTTCATATATTAATCAAGAGTAGACATTTGAAGGGGAGCCTTGATGTAATTGGTAAAGTTGCTGCTATGTGACCAGGAGGTCATGGGTTCGAGCCGTGGAAACAGCCTCTTGCAGAAATGCAGGGTAAGACTGCGTAGAACAGACCCTTATGGTCCGAACCTTCCCCGGACCTCGCGTATAGCGGGAGCTTAGTGCACCGGTATGCCCAATCAAGAGTAGACATTAGTAGCATAGATATGGAGTTTCTTCGGCTGATTCTCGTCAACTCTACCAATGTACATAAAAAATAACAAATGAACAATGAAAGCAAACTGCAGCTCCTTCAACGTATAGCTATCATTATTTTTCTCATTTATTACTTTTTTAGTTATTTGATGTTTAAACAAAAATCAAGTTCAAGCAATTCACAACTCGAATTAACAGGTTTCAATACCTGTTATCATCGAGAAGAAGGTGAAATCATTGCTGGAATATGTCGACTTGAGTGTGGTTTTCAGACCGCCTACAATTGCAACGGTATGGCAATAGTGCTTATAAATGTTCTATCCCAAATAGGTTTCCCGATGCTTACTTGTGCAATTCTTTCTTGTTATGTATCTTGTCATTTCTTGTAGATTGTTGGCATTATAATTGCTTCTATCTCTCCCATCCAAAATATCATGGTTGGCGACCGTGCTCCACTTCGTTTCGTTGAGAGTTCTGTTGTTTTGCTAGGGTATGTCCCCTGTTGCAAATAATTTTCCTAATGCTACTTCGCTTACATGTCAAAGGATGTGATGCCTGTTGCCTAAGAGTCTATATATGTAACTGAAAATCAAACAGTAGATTAGTTTTCATTCTTTTTGCATAGCTTTTCAATGTGTTATTGGAAAAAAGGAAAACATATTCCAAAGGGATAAGGTCCAAATTTACCCCTCTAATAAACGAAATATCTGAATTTTACTCTCCATTTTACTTTGGAACCATTCATACCCTTGTTGTTAGCAAATTGTCTCATATTTGCCTTGACTTTAACCGTGCTCCAGCATAGATGGGGGTGAATAGTACGTGTCAAAATACTTAAGAGAAAAAGGTCCAATTTTTAGCCCTCCACTTTTAACTATATTCAAAATTATTCTCCGTTATACTTCAGGTTGGGAGGTCCTTAAGGTCAAGGGCAAACACGATTTTAACGACAAGGGTATGAATGGTCACAAAGTACATCGAAGGTTAAAGTTTAGGATATTTTGTATTGTGGAGAGGTACTTTTTTTAATCCTTTTCCTTATCAAAATAGGAGAAGGAAGCATAGTTCAAAAATCTATACTATGAGTAAGGAAGAGGTAAATTTATACATAGGAACCAAAGGCAAATTGAACAACGTTCAAAGGCAAAAACGTAGAAACTACTCCCAATATATCGAGACTTTCTATCGTCACTCCTTTCTTTGTTCTCAAATTGATCTTCTTGTCGTGTGATTTGTTCTACGCTAGGGATGCAGCAATTCCATCCATGACTATAATAATGGGCGCAAATCTTCTAAGGGGTAAGTTGTTTATTAAACTTGGTGTCTACACTAACATTATCTTGATCAATTCTGCATTTGTTATCACGTCAATTCAACCAGCTTATGTAACTCATTCAGGTTTCAAGCGATCAGGAGTTGGTATTTGGCTTCTTATTGGGATCATTGTTGTTCGATTCGTTTTCTTGCCTATCATTGGTGTTGGTGTTATTACAGTTGCAAAAAATCTCGGCATTGTAGGATCAGATCCTTTATATCATTTTGTTATTCTGCTGCAATATGCAGTTCCACCTGCAATGGCCATAGGTAAAAGTTTACTTGTGATGAAAGCAAATGCCGTTCTTGAACTGTTGTTCCGATTTCCTAATGACAGTTTTTTGATGGATAAAATTTTGCAGGTACTATCACACAGTTGTTTGAAATTGGTGAGACTGAATGTTCTGTTATCATGTTCTGGAATTACGCCGTGGCATCAATCGCATTGACGCTTTGGTGCACATACTTTATGTGGATCCTATCCTGAATACTTTGTAGTTGGTGCTTGTTGTATTTCGTGCTTTGTATTTCATGTATCATATCACTACAGGGTTAAGTCTTGACGCAACAGTAAGAGTTGTCGTCGGGAGGTCACAGATTCAAGTTGTGGAAACAACCTCTTATAGAAATACTTGGCAAGGTTGTGTACAACGGATTTAAAGTGGTTCGGCTCTTCCTCGAGCCTCGTACATAGCAGGAGCTAAGTGCACTTAGCTGTCATTTTTATTGTTAATTGTTGTAAAAAAAATCATGGCCAAGTGTTGTATCGATTGACTTAAGCACGATGAATAAATGTACTTATGATTTGTTTTCACTAACATTTTCCCTTTTCCCATCAGGGGATAAAAGCCATAATCTGAATTGGATCACAAAAGATCTTGTTAATTTGACTTTAGGGGGTTATTTAGAGAGATATTGAATATGTGCATAAGGAGTGTTAGTCACTTGCTTTTTGAGATTATAATGGAGAAAGTTCTACAACAACAACAAACCAGTAAATTCTCGTAAGTGAGGTCTGTAAAGGATAGTGTGTACACAGGCCGGATTTACCCCTATCTTGGACGGACAAAAAGATTGTTTCCGATAAAGCTGTATAGCAACCAGATGCATGGTAACACCAAGGAAAAACATGAGCTTGGTAAGACTCAAATCTAAGTGATTAACCAATCTTTTAATAAATATCTCTACCTTCTACAATTATAAGAATATAACAAGCTGCAATACACTAATGACCAGACATGCCAAACGATCTAACGATAAGACAAAGCAGTTGAATCAACAAAAGCGCCAAGCAGCTTCAAGTCCATACTGTGCCTTATAGAAGCGCTCACACATGAAAAATGGAAGAGAAAGGCGGGTGGAGGAGAGGGAGAATTAAGAGAGAGAAAATTGGAAAGTGTTGGGCCCAAGTAAAGTTTGTTTTGATGATTGATAAAAGAACTCAAGCATGAACCAGGTTCATCCACAGTGAGACACGAGCAGATTCAAGCACAAAGGATGCACGTGAAGGAGATAAGCTTAAGTGATTATATCTGATATCTCCTGATCGAAAAGATTGCATAAATTATAAGGAGAAGGACTCCTTACTCGAAGAGAACTTTATCAAGGATAAGGAAGGAGTTAGAAGATGAAGATAACTAGAACTCTTCCACCAAGGAAGAGTATAGCATTCGAACTCTAGTTATTTCCTATTCTACTAACTCTATAAATTGCAGGATGTTCTCATTTACAGGTATGCACAAAAGCTGAAGTTAAACGTGAGTTGAGAGCAAAACAGCAAGGTATTTTGCAAGCAATTCTTGTGTGATTCAAGTGTGCAAACCTGAAGCTACATGAACCAGATAGAAAAAATCACTTTCAAGTGTCTGTCTTTTATTCTAGTTCAATTGTAGTAGGTGTTTTCAATTTATACATTTCAGTTTTATCTAGAAGCAATTGTATTAGGTACTCTGAATATTCAAGTTAGAGTTAACTTGATGTTGTCGCAATAGTTAGAGGTTGGTTGACACAACGGGATTAGAGGTAATCCTTAGGTTTACAAAGAGTTTTTGCAAATGCTATTTTGGCTCAGTAATTTAGTGAAGAGTTGGGAAAAATCCTACTGAGTAGTAGGTCGTGGTTTTTTCACCTTTTGAGTTGGGTATTTTCTACGTAAAAATACTTATGTTCTTTACTTTCCACGTTTATTATTTCTGCAATAGTAGTTTAAGGAACACATAGAAGAACCAGGTCTTTCTATAATCTTTGCACTCGAAAATTGGACACCATAATCACCCTCCCCTCCTCTTGTATGGCATTGAAGTATAAAATATCAATTGGTATCAGAGTGAATTCTCCTTGAAGAGGCTTACACCTTAGGAGAAGATCAACGTGAATGCACCATCTGGAAACTAGAAGGGTAATCCACTGGTAGGCCACCACTCTTTAATGGCCAGTACTACTCTTGGTGAAAAAACAAGATGAGAGATCACCAAAGATTTCAAGAAGTACATAAGGAGAGGAAAGAGTTATTAAAGAAGTGGTGGCTACATGTAACGACCCGGCCGATCATTTTAAGAATTAATGTCTCGATCCCCTATTAACTACTTTCCCCGTGTTTGTTTATGCTATTTTGATTTGCCGGGATGTTTCGTTTGGAGTATCGAAGTAGTTTTGGACACTTAGTCCCTAAAGGAGAGCTTAAGCTTTAGAATTTGGACTATAGTTGGAGCAGTGTAAAGACGGCCTCGAAATGGAATTCTGGCGATTCTGTTAGCTCTGTTGGGTGATTTTGGGTTTAGGAGCGTGTTCGGATTGTGTTTTGGAGGTCTGTAGCTTATTTAGGCTTGATATGCCGAAAGTTGAATTTTTGAAGTTTCCGGCTCGATAGTGAGATTTTGATATCAGGGTAGAAATGGAATTTCGGAAGTTGGATTAGCTCCGTAGTGCTGATATGATGTGCTTGCAAAGTTTCAGGTCATTCGGATGAGGTTTGATAGACTTTTTGATCGAAAGCGTAATTTTAGAGTTTTTGGAGTTCTTAGGCTTGAATATGATGTTAAATTAGTGTTTTGATGTTGTTCTGAGCGTTCTGAAGGTTGGAACATGTCTAAATGATGTTTTAGGATTGATTGGCATGTTTGGTTGAGGTCCTGGGGGCCTTGGGTGTGTTTTGGATGCTCAACGGACCATTTTTGAACTTGGAGAAGGATCAGATGTTTGTTGGTTTTTGTTGCAGACTATTCTTCATCGCGATCACTTGAAGAGGCTCGCGATCGCGAAGGCCTGGATGAGGCATAGGGTATTTTGTTCTACGCGATCGCGGGAAGGGGAGTGCGAACGCATAGTAATAGCAGGAGTTGAATCGCGAACGTATGGACTACGCCGTTTTCGCGAAGAGGAAGAAGTGAGGCAATTGAGGATTTGGAAGTTGCTCATCGCGATCGCGTGAGGTCAACCGCGATCGCGTAGAGCTGAGCAGTGCAACATCGTGATCGCGTAGGTATTATCGCGTTTGCGTAAGGCTAATTTGGGGTCAGTGATGTTACTCTTCGCGATCGCGATTAAGGATTTACCTGGCAGAATATAAAATTTCAAAGTCGAGGGTTTAGCCATTTTCGCGTGGGAGCTCGGATTTGAGCGAGATTTTGAGGGATTTTCAGAGATATCAATTGGGTAATTATTCCTAACTCCTTTTTGCTTATAACTCATTAATCTAAACGTGAATTCATCATGTAATTTCGGATTTGGGGTGAGAAATTGGGGAAAATTTTGGAAAAGTTCTTAGACCTAATTTTCGAGTTTTGATTGGGGATTTGACATTGTATTTGGATAATTTTGGTATGGTTAAACTCGTGAGTGAATGAGGATTCATAATCTGTAACTTTTACCCGATTCCGAGATGTGGGCCCGAGGAGCGTTTTGGTTATTTTTCCTAATTTTGCGTATTAGCTTAGAATTAATTAGTGGAATCAGTTACTTGAAATTATATTTACATTATGCAATTGATTTGAATAGATTGGGCCATTTAGAGTCGAGTACTCATGGTAAGAGCGTGGTTTCAGGTTGATTTTGAACCAGTTTGAGGTAAGTGACTTGCCTAAACTTGTGTGGGGGAAATCTCCTTAGGATTTGGTATTGTTGATATTTAAAATGTCTTGTACATGAGGTGACGAGTGAGTACTTGTGCTAATTGCTGAAAATCCTATTTTCATTAAGTAACTATAATTGTGTTTCCTTTCCTGTTTATACTACTTGCAATTTAAGCATGTTGTTAGCTTAGGGAAGCATGTCTAATTGACTTAATTGCTTTACTTGCTCAAACTACCTTATTTGGATTATGTGCAGCATGCTAGGTTAGTAATACCTGTTTTACCTTGGTATAAAATTTGAATTGAATTGAGTATTCTTCGTGTTGCTGCTATGTGTTTATTTGGGACTACGGATTTGTATTCCTGGAGATCCCCTGCACATATATTGATTTGTGCTGTAGTGCGGGATACCGAGAGATCCTCATCACGTATATTGAGGATACTAAGAGATTATCGGGATACCAAGAAATCCCTAGCACGTATATTGAGGATACTAAGAGATCCTTGGGATACTGAGAGATCCCCAGCACATATATTGAGGATACTAAGAGATTCTCAGGATACCGAGTGATCCCCAGCACACATATTGAGGATACTAAGAGATCCTCGGGATACTGAGAGATCCCCGGTTGTTATATATGCATTAAGATGTATTCTTTTGTAATTATTTTATCTCTGTTATAATTGTTGTTATTTTTATTATCCCGTGTTACTTTATATTGTTAGCATTTAATTATATTGTCGTATTCTATACTATTTTATCTCATTTTCAGCTATAATCAGTATGGCCCTGACCTTCCTCGTCACTACTCGACCGAGATTAGGCTTGACACTTACTGAGTACCGCTTTGGTGTACTCATGCCCTTTCTGCGCATGTTTTTCATGTGCAGATCCAGGTTCTTCGGCTCAGCCCTATCATCCTTGAGGCGAGGTGATTCTCTAGAGACTTTGAGGTATATTTGCCGCGTTCGCAGACCGAGGAATCCCTTTCCATTCTCTTTAGTAGTTATATCCCTTCTGTATTCACTTTGATTTAGATATTCTGGAGTTAGAACACTATGTAACATCTTTAGTTTGTGATTTCATGAGATTCCAGGTTTTGGGGGTTATTTCAGCTTAAGAGTTTTTATTGTATATTCTGAGTGGCATCTTAAACGTTCTATTTATGTTTATTCGGCAGTTTTTAGTTGGTTTTATCTTTCATTTTCCTTTTCCGCAAATCGTTAGGCTTACGTAGTCATAGAGACTAGGTTCTATCATGATAGTTCACGGAGGGCGAACTGGGGTCGTGACAAGTTGGTATTAGAGCTCTAAGTTCATAGGAGTCATGAATCACAAGCCGGTATATTAGAGTTTTGCGGATCGGTACGGAGACGTCTGTACTTATCTAGGAGAGGCTATGTAACAGTTAGGAAAATTCCACTTCATTTGATTTCCCTGTCGTGCGAGATTTTTGACATCACAATCCTAAACCTCTATCTTCCATTCTCTCACAGATGAAGAGGACATGTACTACCAGAGGTGACCAGACACCTGTGCCCCCTATGAGAGCTGTCAGAGGTGGGGCCGGGTTAGAGGCTGAGGATGCGCACGTGGTGCGGCTAGGGCACCCGTGCGAGCTGCTACAGAGGAGCCACCAACAGTTCCAGCTGAAGCCCAGGCGCCTGATACGCCTACTGCTACTACTACTCCAGCACTTCAAGAGACCTTAACATAGTTCCTGAGCATGTTTGGTACATTGGT